CATGTGTCACCTGCGTACTCCATAAATTTGAATTTACTTGTTATTCTGTTTAACTAAAGGCTACTTCATTTAAATTAATAATACCTCCTTATGTTTCATTTTTGGTGTCTTTTCTAAGCATCAGGTCTCTCCATCTTCACAACAGCCTTGAGAATTGGGAGACCATGTTACTCCAAGATCACACAGGTGTAAGGAGAAAGAACAAAGCTAATACTTCAAGCTGTTTGACTCTTGTTCATGACCTTTCTCTTGAGAAAATAATGGCCATAATTGTGTAAAATATATGCAAGCCATTGCAGGTATGATAGCTTTTGTTTCCTTGGGAACAAACAAGATAGATTTGAATTCCCCAAGTGGTCATCTAACAAGTTGTTCTTTCATTAGCACTGTAATATCAATTAAAGTCTAATAAGTAAATAAAATATGGCATGTTCTCAAAACACCAAATGCTGTTCTGTCTAGCTAATCTTAATTATCACCTATATTTAACATAAAAGACTAGAATTATGTTTGTAACTTTCCTAGCATATATGGGAATAGCAACATTTTTCTACCATAATAAGAACCCATTGAGAAAATAGAATTTTTCTTAAAAAAAACAGAGCAGAGACAGGATTGAGCTTCAGCCTTTGTTTCTCTGGCTGTCAGTAATGACTTCTGTGAATGTGTAATTAACCTGCAAAAGAAAAAGAAAACATATATATATAGGTGTCTGCCTCTGAAAAAGTGCATAGGCTGTTAGTTTGTTTAAGGGGAAAATGTTAAGATACTGTGATGTTCTTAAAGGAAAAATACTTGTATTTAGTAAACTGCTTATCAACATACCCCCCCCTTCTTTTAAAATGCTAAAATGTCCCTTCTTTCAGCATTATCTTTAATGTCAGTTTCTTTCATGTTGGGATGCCCACATCTTTCTGAGACATTATCTTAGTAATCCTCTTAAGAATGAAGATTCATGAGGCAGTTATCTTCCCTAAATCCAGAGGTTTTTCAAGTCAGCTAAGTGGGAAAGATAATGCCTTTGTACATCTGTAGCATCTGTCTACATTGGAACTTCCAAATACCTTTTTGAATTATCTAATTATCCCTTTCAACATCCCTAGGAGAGAGACAGGCAGGAGGTAAAAACTGATTCTAGTTCTTCAAGGAGTAGAGCTAATCATTGGTTCCACAATAAGGTGACTTTGCCTGCAGCTCTGTCCTCTACAAACTTCTGTCCTGTAGTAAAGAGACCTTGAGTGTCTTAAAATAATATTTCTTCTCTCGAATTAAAGGCAGTAGGTGTTGGAATGGCTTTATAAATACCTCTAAGCAAATGTAATTACGTCTGATTCACTTCTCCTCTTGGCCAGTTAAAGAACCTTCACAGAATATTCCAGAGTGAGTGACTAGTCTTGTGAAAACCTTCCAGGAAAATTGTGGCCAGATCATTTTAGGAAACACCACCAATGCCCTCCCTACCTTTTGACAAGTCAGAACACAGGCTGACATGGTGAAGTCCTCGAAAAGCCCTAATTGAACTATGGCACATGGAATCTGTGGCTTTTATAATAGCATTAACAGTCCCTGGAAATAATATTTTGTGGAAAATATTTAAGAAACAGCAGCCCAGACTTTTTTGCCTTTAAATCGTCTCACTCAGAAACCAAAACTTATAGAAAGAACAGAGCCAACGGTGATGTAATTAGTTGATTTTTATCAAGTACTTACTTCTAGACACTGGGATCATCCAGTTGTTCTGCACGACAGTTGCTTCTGTCATCCATTCCATGAACCCTGTGTTTCGAAAATATTTTGTCTAGCTGACCAACGGCCTGCGTTAAACATGAAATGATCCATTTTCACTTTGTAGGTCATTTCAGTGATGTGATGGAGAGAGGTTATTTAAGAAATATTCTCTCTGGGAATCATGTGGGGGATTATACTACGCCAGGCAGACAGGAAGAGTTGCTGCTCTGGTCTTCTTTACAATGGTTCCCGTGAGGTTTTACAAAATTCTGAAAAGTGGTTCTTGATCCCCAGGATTGGCCCATCTACTTTAAAGGTCTCCTAGGACAATCCCCTTTGTCTACAGAGACAATAGAATCTCTGCTTAAAGACCTTCAAGATTCATATTGTAACAGATTATTCTGCAAGTGTCCATCTCATTGTGCTGTTGTTTCCATAATAATTAGAAGTTATTGTTTTCCTCCCTTAGATCATAGAGCCCATAATTTCTTCACTGAAGCCACCTTCAAAATCCAAACCTGAAACTACCTTATTTTGCCTATTTCTGTTGTTAAAATTAACACCTACCCTCTCCACTCCCCACCACCACCACCAAAATAAATCAAACATGACATAAGTTTTTCTGTTATGATGAAATGTCCCCTAGAGCAACAGTATCTTTCAGGGCATTTCTTGTTCCTTTGATTTAACTTAAACCAAGGAACCAGACTGTTCCCAAAGGGCAAATTAAGGAGGTCTGTTAACTCTTTTAGTGCCAGCTTCAAGAAATCCCAGCAAAGCCATTAATGTTGTTTTGCCTTGGGCTTAATCCTTTTTAAAAATCAGCTGTCATTTTCCAAGCAATTCAGAATAGCACACTCAACAAAACCCTGGAGCTCTGAAATGTTAATGTCCTGCTTCTGCCAGGAACAGGCCGCTGGGAGGTGAAAAAGCCCGTGCTCTGGATCACACTAGTTTACACCATCAACTTTGGAAATTGTGAGCGAGAATAATTGACAGTGTGCTAAGACCAATCTTGAAGAATGCTAAGACAAAGAGCTCCTGCCCCGTGAAATGTTGGGTCGAGGGAGAACTTCTGAATACAACAAAGGAGAAATTAGCTGTAATGGTGAAGCGAAATGAATTGTGTCTGAAAATGGGATTTATCATTGGGAATGGCTCTCGTGAGCTTTCTGCATACTTCAGTGCAATCCCATAATATGCCTGATAAAAATTGCTTATTTTAGAGGTAAACAGCAGAATCAAAGAGCAAAACCAGAAGGAGTGTGTTCTAAACTCGAACCTGTGGTGTAGAGCTTCAGATTAAATGTTATGCCAGTGGGACTGTGCTGTCTGTGGAACTTAATAATTAATCATTTTCTTCCACCTTGAATGAGCGTGCTAAAATTTGGAGTCATGAATATTGGCGTACAATTTAAGGATTTTTTTATAAATCAGTTTTGAACAATGGAGTTATTATCAAATGAAATGTTGACTTCCTGGTATAAAACTGCAAGAATAAAAGTTCCGGGCCTCCCTGGTGGCGCAAGGGTTAATATGCAACCTATGAAGCTATCCGCAGCCACTGCAACACTAGTTCAATCCCTGGCCAGGGAGCTACCCACAGGGAACAGCAGACCTCTCCTGACTCGCCCACTGCTCCCCTCAGCAGTGTACTTTGGTCATTCTGCCTGTTCTGCTCCCCACTCTGTCTCTGGTGGATCCTCTCACCCCCCACACCTCTGGCCTATACCACAGCTCTTGTATGCATAAATAAATAAATCTTTTTAAAAAAAAAAAAGAATAAAAGTTCCCCACTAAAAAAAAATAAAAAGTAAAATAAGCATACACATGCTTAAAGAAGAGTTGACATAAGTAATCCCGAAAAGTCTGGTTAAAAAAAAAAACTCTCTAGGGTTCAGGTCATCTCCCTCGTAGCAAAGGTTAACATAAAGTTAACCTTCATCAAAACTTCCCGAAGAGGTGACTGTGTTTCCTGTAATTCTGGCAAAGGAATTATCTCGATAACCAGTGGAGAATATGAAGCAAAAGAAGTCCCCCCACTACCCTCAGGGAAACCACTAAGGAAAAAATCTGGCAGCTCAGTCCCTAAGATCATTACAATAAAATGTTTGATTTCCCATAGCAACCCTAATTGTGACATGAACAGCTGTCAACAACAAAATTAGAGAGAAACTGTCATTATATGGCTTCCATTCACATTTGCTTGTCCTATTTAAATCCACACCATTGCTCAGGAGAATGTTCTCAAAGAATTCTTGCAGTCGGGGTTTTCATTATTCAAAGGGGAGTCACTCAGGTTATTTGGCCTTCGATGCTATACATGAAATATATTTGTCATGATAACAAGAGTCCCGAAAGGATGTTTATTGAATACCAAATTCAAGTGCATGAAAATGTCTGTGACAACATTTCTGTGATCCTGGAGTGATTCTACGAAGGATTTCAATTTCTATTTTTAATACAGTTAATTCTCATTATTTGTCAGAGGTCCATAAAGTCACCACAAACACTGAATCAGCGAATACTGAGTCATTGCTCTTAAGGGAATACAAGGTCGGGCGCCTGCCAGCTTTTAGTCACATTTTCATCAACTAATCAATACGTCACCTCGCTTTGTGTGTGTTTCTCCTTAAAGACAACTTCCTTAATGTCTACCGTGGATTCATTAACATCGACCTAATGGCCGCGGGCTTGAGAAACACACCTGAACAGAGCTTATCTAGCACAGGTTTGCTCCATAAGGCACATCCCACTGCCCTCTCGTGCTTCAGAGCTCTAGAAAGCTCTTCAGAGCTGGGCATAGGGGACCATTTAAACAGGGAAATCGCCAAGTAAAAGCACAAAAATGAGGGAAATATGACACGACATAAACCACAAAAGGACTCTTGGTTTTCAGCATAAGCGCTCAACAAGAGAGCTTCACCCCGCCTTGTCTAGCCTCAGCTGGGAAGGTGCGTGGAGGCAAAACCTTTGCAGCTCTGCCCCAGCCTGCAGAAGGGGGACATTCTGATGTTCAGGTTGCAAACTACTTTGGGGGACTAGGCAAGCCCACAAGTAAGAGTCAGGACATGGAAAAAGTCACTCCTGATCTGTCTGGGTGATTCCTGTGTTACCTGCGCGGCTGCATTTGTTTAAATTTCAGCCTTAGATCTTATTGGCCCTTAAGGTTCCATGAAAAAATACCAAGTCATCACATCATATCCTTTCATGTCATGATCTGAGGAAGAAGTTCCTGTGTCACTTGCTTCACTTTTCAATGACTTTTCCAGGTCTTCCAGGGATGTGGCCAACCCAAACCAGCTCCAGCCCTCAGATCTGCACGCTCGGCTCCTGAAAATTTTAATACACGTTTCAGGCCATACAATCCCGAGGAGAGACCCACGACAGCTGCAGGAACGAGCTTGGACCGGCTGGTGAGTTGTCTGGAATTTTTGTGATCACGAGGTGGGGGCAGCTTTCTGTCAGCAAGCTCAACCTTCAGGGGATGTGATGGGCGTCTGACAAAGTTGGTTGTGAAAGTCATCTCCTTCTAATCTCTGTGCCTAGTCTTAATAGGAATATTGAAAAGTAATGAGCTCTTCCCTTTAGGTCACGAATGAGATGATTTAGGAAATCTTATCACTGAATCCACTCAGGCAGTGGGCAAATTTTTTACTTCATATGTCTTCTGAAATATTAATCTGAAGACAAGTTACTCTGTCTTCTAGAGATACAATTACAATAACATATTTCTTATTCATATGGTCAGTTTTTCAATTATGATTCAGTATAACTTTCTGATGACTTCTGTATGGAAAGTTTTTTGTTTGAAAAACTTAGACCAGACACCCCTATCCATGTCGCTACCAATTTTTCTTTTCTGCATATCTTTAAAAGGTTGTCATTCTAGAACTGGTTGCTCTTTGGAGGACTGAATGGTATCTATCATCAAAACAATTTACTTGGAGAATACACCCATAAACATAGTTAATGCAAGTTTTAATGTGTGCTAAGCATCACGTTTTGCTATAAAAAATTAAAAGCTCGTAATTTCAGAGAAGTACTGCTTGATTACTTCCAATGCAAATTATAGTACTATAAACAATTTATATACCTGTAATTGTTAGTGCTGTTAATATTGGTTTGCCAATTATCTTGATGTAAAATTAGCAGATAAAACCTTATGATTCTAAAACACTTGAACCACATCTGATTATGTCATATAAACTCAGATTTTGAATATTTCTAGTTATAAAAATGCTTCTGTTAGTCACTGTTATAAATTACTTTATTGTTTTAGAGAATATCTTAATATCATGAGTTTAAATTGGTTGAGTTTGACATAGAAGTTAGTACCTATCCGCATTTCTCTCTAAAAAAAATATTAAATGTGCTTACAGGAAAAAAGGTCTGCCCAGGAAGTGCCAGTAAGGAATAAATGGAATCATTAACCATTAAATCATATTATAAATTTATTACTTTTTTTAGCAATGAAAACACCCCTTCTAGTGTAGGTTTGAAAAAAGAACCATCTAGGTAATTGCTTCAACTTTTTTCTTGATAGCTACTATCTTTTCATTGTTTTAGAAAAAGTTTTAAGTTAGTCACCTTTTTCTTTTAAGTAACTAGATTCCACCAAATAGCGAGTTGATTTTTGTTGTTGGTTTTTTAATGGTAACTTCATTAGAATTCATAGTTTGGGTTTTTACTTTGCAAATGCCTTTGTATGTCAAGATTCTTTTAAGCTGCACAGAGTATTGGTCCACTATCCCTCTTTTCCGCCCATTTTTGTTGCCTCTGACTTAGTTATTGCAACTATTCACTTTTCAGAGTTTTCATAAACTCGCATTTAAGAATTGAGGCACTGCAAGATGAATAAATTCTAGAGCTCTGCTCTGTACCATCATGTCTAAAAGAACAATACTGCATTATGCACTTAAAAACCTGTTAAGAGGACAGATCTTATGTTAAATGTCCTTACCACAGTAAAAGGAAATTTAAAAACAATTGGGGGACATTAATGCACTTAGTTAAAATTGCATAGAATTTAAACAATATAACAATTTCTATGACTATAAGTTCATCTCTTTCCTTTTTGAAACAAGAGACACACACAGAGAGACACATAGGGAAAGTTGAACAAGAAAATCTTTTTCTCAGGACAACAGTATTTATGCAATTTAGCATAAATGAAATAAAATTTTAACACTGAAAAATTCACATGATGCTTAAAATCTGAAAGACAGGAGAATTGGAACTTGAGCCTTTTGCCAAGGAACTTTATTGGTGAGCTTCAATATATCCTAATTATAAAGGTCTTAAAAGACAAATCCTAATTATAAAGGTCTTAAAAGACAAACAGACCATTTAGAATCTTTGATCCAGCCCCCAAAATACTTGTATCAATTTTTTTCTGAAAAGAACTAGTAATAGTTAATCATATGATTCTCAGTTAAAAAAATAAATAAATGAAAATCACAGACTGGATTCAGCTCATAAGAATCCAGAATCAGAGGACCTCCCCTGGTGGTGCAGCAGTTGAGCACTAGGCTGCAAGGCTGCCCTCAGCCTCTGCAGCACCAGTTTGTTCCCCGGCCACTGGCGAGGGTCCCACAAAAAAAAAAAAAAAAAAAAAGAATCCAGAATCAGAGCAGAGAAATTTAATGCCAATTTTATTCTCAAATGTGCTCTGACAGCATGTCATATTTCTTTCCTCAGAGGTGTGGCTTCAAGTTCTGTAAAGGAGAATGGTGGTGGCATCAATTTCTTTTTTAATTAAATCCTGATTCCGCCCCAAATTGTAAGAATTAGCAATCGGTTATTCACAGCCAGTCACAAACCTACCTGGAGCTCCTTCCCTAGCCCCTAGGAGCAAGGACCTCTTTTACATCAAAAGGAATTACACAACATTTTTCTTGAGAGACCCAAGTTCGATCTGAAGCTAACATCAGAATCTACTCCACAGCCGCTGGCTCTCCCAGAGGCTTCCTTCCCTTTGAGGGTTCAGAGTTCTGAGTAGCAGTAAGGTGAAGCCTTTGCCTTACCCAGACAGGCAAGGCTGAGCTCCCGTTGCTGGTATCCCGAACATTACAGCCAACTTGAATGGTTTGTAAACCAGCTCAACATACCTACTCCTGTTTTAATTTCCCCCCAAAAAAGATGTTTCCTGAATATTTATAAGAAGCATGTGCCGCATGCAAGGAAGACAAAGGGAAAGACTGCACTTAATTTCTCTAAGTGTTTCAATACAGAGCAATGTTTCAAAGGACAGCATCAAAAGAATATCTCAGCCACCCCACCCCATTCTTCAAACTGAAAATAACTCAAGCATACGTCTCTCCTAAAGGTGCTTCCCCTTCCTACCATTTAAAATCAGTCCCTGTGGTATTATCTGTTGAGCTCTATCGTAAATGACCTTATATCAGTTATTGTAAAGTTATTTTTCATATGACCTGGTAATTACGGGCTTTCTTGTAGAAATAAACCTCTTAACCCCAAGTTGGTTAAATTGCTGTTAAAACTTCATTTTTGAAAAATTGAACACAAAGTAAAATGAAAAATACATCCATTTCATCTTTTACCTCTGTATTTATAAGGAATTTGAGGATTCTGAGCTATTCCTGGGATCTATTTCCATGTGTTTTTCTAAAGTCCTTCAGGCATAAAAATCAGGGTAGGTACTCCGTAGCTTTCAGACATACTACACTAAAGTTATTTTTATTATCCAATAATGAATGAACATATAAATCCACATTCAATTGCTGATGGAAAGCAGGCTCATCACATCCCTCTTGCCAGCAGCCATGACTTGCTGAAAATATGAATGCCATCAACATTTTGGTTTACTGACCATTTCCACCAAGTCTTTCCTGTAACCAACCCAACACTGACCCTTTCTGTCCCAGCCCACTGTTACTTATTTTAGACTAAAGCTCCAGAGGTGATTATTTAGACTCAAAAAGAAATTTTCTCTCTTCTTTCTTCTATTATACTCTGAATTCTTTTAATATTTTGATGTACATTTGGTATAAAACTATGATTTTTTTTTAAAGAAATTCCCACTGGACCTTCACTAGGAAGAGTGTAAAAAAAAATCAATCAATATAAAACAGTTCAATGTTTAAGATCCAGGGATACAGAGGTATTTCATATTATCCTGTCAGGGCAACTAAGCTATACAGCTCAGAAAGTTAGAACACAACATGCTATAAAGTTCCTGGACACACTTAGGTTGCAAGTGTCTGTTTCATACTCAGGCTAATTCATTAGAGCAAAAATCTGCTTTAAATTTGTGTGTTCTATAAATATATTTCATAGAAATAGATACAAAAACACAAAACTAAACCTCAAAAGTCATTCATCCATTGGTGATTGAGGTCAATGACTCTCTAGTAAGTATTCGATGTGGTACTGGGTGGTTGATCCCTTGAATAGTCTACAGGTCCTTCTGAGAAAGATGGGGTGGGGGTGGGTAAAATGCCAGCTCGCAAAGCTCGATTATATACATGTGCTGTGCTATTATGTATAGAATAATCTCTCTTTCTTTTTCCTTTAAATTTGTTTTCCTCTTGCTTCCCAGAGGATTGTGTGGAGGACAATGCAACATAGTGTAAGCCTTGCTCATCTTATCCTTCCTCTCATCCCCATTTGTCTTTGTATAGTCATTCCAGGGAGTTCCTGGGAAAATTCCACCTCCACGTCCCCTTTCCAAATTGTCTAGAAAGCCAGCTGAGCACTGCCCATGACCAGCGGGTTCAGGAACTTCCTTTCTGCTGGGTATATCTGGTGAACAGTCTTTCTGGTATTCTTTCCCGTGACAAAGTTTGCAGTCTAAATTTTGTGTAACTAACTCATTTGGTGACTGATTTAAATTCTATCCCAATGTTCAGACAATGTGTAGTCTGCCTGAAAAACTAGCTCTTCTTTGATAGAATATATTGGCTTTTTTCTTCTTGTGCTAAGCGAATAATTACCTCCCTAATAATAACAACAAACCAACAGCAGGTCTCATGCATACAAAGCTAATTTTCCCATTAGCTGGGACACAGAGAATGTGGGGGGTTAAGAAACAGTTTGTGGTATAGATTGTTTACTTTTTTTTTTCTCCTACTTAAATTTACTGATGTCTTTCAGGCTGTTCAGGGAGGGAGCATTGAATTATTTTTTACTACAAAGTGTTCTGTACTGGGGCTATGAGAGGAACACCCAAGTTCTCTTACCAGGTTTTCTTATATACTAAAATTTTTATTTCAAGAAATGCTCATAAATAATTTGATATTAATTCTCATCTGGTTTCTGTAATACTTTTCCACGTTGGTAACATCCCTTAGTGAAGCTCTGACCTCACATCACATCATGGACCCACGGAGAAGGTGACCTTCACCTTAACATCACGTTGTTACTATCAGCCCGGCCTGCAATGCAGACAGTGGTT